AAAATTTTATTCAGTTAAGTATTTCTGCACAAGACAAGAAAGCCATAAGAAACCCAAAACAGAACTATCCTTCTTTCCCAAGAAGTAACCTGAAAATAGTATGCTTATCCTTTTTTTCTGGGGCATTAACAAACAACTCACCTCAGATGATATTAAGGCTGCGATAGCTGTTTGACAAGACCTGAGAACTCATGCAAAAAAAGCAATTTCTGGTTATCGTTATCCCCTCTGACCAGTGGGATTATCAGTCAATTCAAGATCAGACAATGCCAGGCATCTGCTGCAATCCTGCTTCCCAAACAGCAAGAATTAAACAGGGTCAAGTGTCTCTCTGGGTCCTCATCCCCTTTCCCAGTCAATATTTAGGCCAAAAGTGCTCACACTTTCTCTTTCTCTCTTTCCTGCCATCTCTCACATGCTCTCTCTCTTTCTCAGGATGGACTCCCAGAGATTTTCCCAGCCATGCCCGTAGTTTTTCACTACTTTACCGTGGCTGCTTTTACTTCAATAAAGAAGCAGCTATTTCTATATGGCTTCCCAGGTACACATCATCAACAGGTTTCATTGGAGTTCCTACTTTTTTTGCCAAAGCCACTGATGAAAATGCTGAATGAGGTTGGTCCCAAGACTCTTCCCTACGGACCGCCAGAAGTAATCTTCCTCCAGCTCGGTATTTTCCCTTTTAGAAGTGTCAGCTTTAAAAATACACAGTGTTTCATTTTCCTAACACTAGAAGATTAATACTAATAGATTTTATGAATGAAATTGATTTTGGAGTGTAATTATAATAGCAGGGAAATAATGTAATGGTCAGAGAAGGATGAAAATTCAGATGTTGTCCAACATTACATGGAAAAGAAATGAAATGGAGGATGACAGATCGCCAAAAGGAAATCTAGGAAAAAGATTTGATGAGACCTCAGATTTCATGAAGGGAATTAGAATAAAACCAATGCAGAAAAATATTTAGCAGAAAACTGGTACTAACCCCTGGTGAAAGGATTGATGCATTACTGGAGAAAAGAGGGAAACCCTCCCTAGCTTGTCTTCTTTCAGTAGGATAACCAGCTCCTGGCACATTTTTCTAAATTAGGATTGCTCAGAAGATGCTCAAATACATTACCTTCAGTCTCTAAGCAGTCTGGACGTGCTTTTATTGCCTTGTTTTCCTACCATTCTTACTTCACTGTTTCCACATTTTGTTTTTCCCACAAAGCAGATGGCAAGCCAGAAAAAAAGCAGCTTTACCTGCAACATTTATCAGCATCTGAATTCCCATGTGCAAAGGCCTTTTCTTTCCTCAAGTACCTGCGGGCTGCTAGATCAAACCGCAGAAGTTGTTAAAGCCAGCTAGACCATACTAAATGTTTCCAGAGAATCATTTTTATATGCGCAATCAGTTATGTGTTACAGGTACAAAGCAAGGAAGAACAACATATCTAATACACATGTATATACACACGAGTGTCTAGTTTTGGGAATAATAGTAGGAAGGTAGTTAAAATACTGATACAGATTGCCGAAACATTATCTCAAAATCAAAATAATATTTTCATCCCGAAGACAATACTTTATACAGCACTTCCTCAAGAAAAGATATGTTTTTTTTTTTGCTTTAGAACATTTTTTCTCTCTCTTGAAAAAATATTGTAAATATTTTTGATCTAAAAGATTTGATGGATAAACCTGGGCCTCAAATGACAAATTGTTATGCATAAAAACATACATTCTGTTTAGCAGTCACATTAAAAGTATAAAACTCTAGACAAGTCTAAACCTTTAATGAAAAATAGCACGTTTTTCCTCCTATAAAACAACTACATGTTTTATCTTCCCCAAAAGTACAGTTGAAAGTGAAGAAAAAATTTGCCTGGGAAATCATTTGCAGAGTAATATCAAAGAGAAGTATTAATTAAGGATGGCCTTTGAAATTTGATCTGCAGTTCCTAACTTTGGTTAATTTCCTGTCTTGAAAAACCATTTGTGGACATGTTTCTCTATTTTGTCTTCTGTCACCACTAAAATATTTCAGACGGGGAGATGCAATTGACTGACATCCCATTTCAGGCTATTTCATGTAACAGTTTTATAGGTACACCTGGAAAACATGGTCTTCCAAAAGGTGAGTTAGAAAGCCATGCTCACAAAGTAAGTCTAAGTTTAGTAACTCTACTAAATAGAAGGATGAATGGCGTGAGGCTTAAGTCCAGAACTGTTCGATGTTTTCATTAATGGTCTGCATGTTAGCAACGGAGAATAAAATTACTACATTCACCCATAATACCAAATTGAGGAAGAATGAGCATGCAAAATCATCTTGACAAACTATGGAAATCAGCTACAAAAATGGGATGCAAGTCAATACGGTTAAATGCCAGTTACTAAGCCCATATGCGAATAGTCAGCTGCACAAATGCAGAATGGAAAACCAAGTAACTCCCCAGTAACTCTGCATGGGACAACCTAAGGATTATGGTGGACCACAGCATGAACTTAAACTAGTAGATGTTATACCATTGTGAAATAGGTGAACGTTATATTTGATTTATGAATAGAAGCACTGTCTATTGACTCACAAGGGAACGCTTCTTCTCTGTAAGCTTTGGAAAGCCCCCACAGCAGGAACTCCACCAGCATGGAGGTCTAGCAAAGACCCCAGCTTTTCTTGGAGACTTAACCAAGCAGCGCAGAGTATCTTATTAATTTATTAGATTAAAAAAAATAATGTTATGAGGTGTTATTGCTGAGTTCCCATCCCAAACATCACAGGTTACTCTGAAAAAGAGTTTACTTGGCTTGGTCAATGAACGGCCATTGGGTCTATTTCAATGCATTGGGATGAATGAGTTTGAGAATAAAGTGGATGTCCCCGCTTCCTGTGGCCAAATACACACCATAAAGAAGTTTCACTGATTTTCTGTAGCTTTTGCAATACTTTCTTTGCTCTCACAGATAATTTGTGCTCATTTTGGTGGATCTTTACTCTTCAAAGTCAACTAGAAAATGGAACCTTACTGGCAGAAAAGCAATAGTTTCTCACATAGATCTTCAGAAAGGAGCATTTTGCTAACGCTTCTCACATGGATGTGGAGACTGACATATTGAAAGTAGACTTTCAGGGGAGAGGGTGTCCTGCGCACACAGTCTCAGCTGACTGGGAACTGGCTACCCGAACTAGATGACACACCTGTGCTCATACAGTCCAAGGTACGTATCTGCCATCACATAATTTTCTGCTCAACTCCTGGCTTGATCCTATAAACCTCAAAAAAACCCAGAAGAATAAACATTCTGACAAATTTGATTACATCTGCCAACTGCATGTAACATTTACTATCTATATAACAACATTTTACTATTAGAAACCATCAGTTTCTTAAAAGCCGAGTTTTGTGGGATGTTCATCTCCATTCACCTTCATTTTCTGCTGCAGGCACAATTAAACCAGCTCTTCTCTTTCAGGTTAAGTCATGGAACATTTTTCACCTTAAAACTGACACTATATACAAGCTTTACTGAAAGCACTGTCAGATCAGCACTGGAAGATTTAAAATCAGGCAACGGCTATGAATGGGTGTATGAACAGGTCTGTTGTGGTCCTGTCATTTCCCAAGCACAAAGCCTGTGTAGCAAGCAAAATATTTTGGCCATTCACATTTTTACTGTGTGATTTATAATATTGTTGCAAAGCCCTTTGTGAATGTAAAATGCTGTGACCATGTTTTTCAGACAGGAATGCTTAAATTAATATTCCCAGATCCTCATTTAGGTTCTTAAATGAGGCCCGGATCCTGCAAATACTGACATGGATGCTTTTAGTTAAATATAGGATTGAATTTTGGCAGAATCAGGGCCTAAATAATCTGGCATTTCAAAAATACCACGGAGCTTCCAAGAACCATTGCAAGCACAGAAGCAGGACTATGTTACATATTCCTGCT